TCAAAAATTCTCTATTAGCAATTCGATAGTTTGCGAGAGAACCTCTCTAGTATCATCTTGCTTTTTGACTGAGACGATATTTATTTGATGAGTAATAGAAAAGTCTAGAATGGTTTGATTTTCCGGGCCTTCATCCTTTGAGATATCAAAATTTTATTGGTTTTTTCTTTGTTTCCCTCAAGTCACATGAAAAATCGACTTTCTGATTCAAACTTTGCATGAACAAAAGTTTTAAATGAGATTAGTTTCTTGAGCAAGTTGTAAATTTTCTAGCATCTCATATCCTGAGATATTCAATATTCGAAATTCTCTCATGTGTAAAAAACAAATTTTGTTTCTAAAGTTTACATCTGCTGAAAGGAAATTTTCATTAAGAACTTTGTTCGTGCAAAGTTTGAAGTCAAAACTCTTACGTAATCTAAGGAGGATAACAAAACTCAGTAAAATTTCGATATCTCAAAAATGAAGATTCGGAAAACCCAACTATTCTAGATATTTCTATTACTCATCAAATAAACATCATCTCGATCGAAAAGCGATTTAACATTTGGAGAGATTTTCTTGTTGGTTTCTTTTCTAATACTATGAACTCAATAATTTCACTAAAAAACTTAGTGTCTATTATAAATCAAAATACTTAAAACTGTACGAACGTCTGAAGTGTAACTAGAAGCATTATGAAAGAATCTCTATGAACATGCATGACAGATTTTATTGTGTTGGCGTGTCATGAAATGAGTCTATGTGAGATGTGAATTTTAAATACATGCATGTTGTGATTCTAGATAAGTTTCCGTCGCTACTTAAGTGTTATGCATTAATACTAAGCTCAAAATTATCAAGTGGCAATGACATCGTATAAAAAAAAATAGAAATTTAAAACTTATAGGTCAATCAGTACTCGCATGAATGAAAGAACTATTTTTAAATAAATATTGTGTGACAATGAATTTAGAATGAATACTATTTTAAGGATTAACATGTATTTGATTCTTTTTATTATAGAAAAATATTATTATCATATGCATTCATAAACATTACATTATACGAGTACACTAATTTCACATTCTACTTACGTTATTTTATAGAGTTATATTTTTGTTTTTAATTTTTTTAGTATATATTATATACTTTCAAATATTAATAAAAATGAAGAAGTCGATGTAAATATATGAGTTCACAAATATTTTGAAAGTAATTATAAATTATTTCTTTTCTTTTTTTGTTTGTTGTGTTTCATCTATTAAGATACAGAATTCAAATACACACTGAGGATTTCTATTGCAAAACGTTTATATGTTGTATTAAGATAAAATAGTTATAAAACAGAAGCTAATGATTATAAAATTGTGCGTTTATGATATGTTACAAAGTTATTTTTTACGAGAGTTCATTTATAAACCAGTGAACATGAATAGACAATCATTTTATAGTTAAAATCTACCTCATAATTTTACAGATAAGAGAACGGAAAAAATATTGGAGAGCTTACAAAATTGATAATTCGAACGAGAAATATATACAATCATGATTTTCGTCAGCTGTTACTAAAAGTGAAAACAATACACATCATCAATTCGGTAGATTTTTATTTATCACAAATTCTAGTGCCCTAAATAATATCGACATTTGTGGAAAGTCAATTCTGGTGGCCAAGTAGAGTTTTTTTTAATATAATATTTACCATACATATCGTAATTCGATACCATCCTACGGTACTGTTTCAACTGGAATGAAAATTTCCTAGTTATGTGTCGGATGTATTTAATCGTGGTTCTCTAACACACTACCAGATGATATCGTAACATAATATCTTAATTCAATAGTTTTAACTAATAATTGTTTATAGTTGTATATTGTAATACAACTTCAGATGAAATGAGATAACCTGTTCGGAAATGAAAACTAGAAACTATTATTAATGGATTTTGTAATAAATCTGATAATGAGAAGATATTTTTTATTGTTCACTCTTTACCTCATGTCGAGGCATTTTTGATCCATTCATAGTGATAGACATTAAAAGTGACTTTTTTTTTTCAAGAGTTGTTTCATTTTCGATATAAACTGGTAATTAATAATGTCTTCGTACTAAAATCTTGTATGGAACTAATAGTCAGTTAAAAAAAGCAATCTGCAGCTATTTTTAAAGAATTTTTCTATTGATAAAAAGTAAAAATCTGCAGTTTTTGTTATAAGCTTCCTTCTGCACCAGACTACAACAATAAGGATGGATGATTTCGAAGTACAATCAGAAGTGACGATTCCATATTACAAAGAAGATAAACGATTCCGATACAGTTCTAAAAATGAAAGACCTAATCTCGGTTCGAAAAATCTATCTTTGTCGATGTCTAACCATATTGCATTCCTATAATGACTAATTTTTCAAAAAATAATTCTTATTAGATATATTTTCAGCTTTGTGCAGATAAAATAAACTGCTGGATTAGTGTCAGAAAGTAAAGGATTCAGAGCAGATTTCCTGGTATTTGGAAATAAAACTACACATTTTGACAGTCGACATATGTAAGTCATAGATTTGTATTTCCAGGAAATTCAAATGAAATGACTATAGAAAAAATTTCATGGAGATTTAATTCTATGATTTAAGACATAAGCACAAGATATTGGTTTTAATATGAAAATAAAATAAAAATGATGCCTATAGTTTTGGACTGGATTAAGAAATTTATTTTTACGAGAAAAACATATAAATTAGAATTAAATTTCCTGATTCAATTCCAAAAAATATAGATATTACTTCTATCTACTCTTTTCATAATAAAATGAACCTCTTGATCCAACTTGATACCAAACTAGGAATTATATTTCTTCAATTGAATATGTAAAAATGAATTTTAGCTAGACATCATTATTAACATTTAGTATAAACGCTTGCAACGTTACTGCTTACTTTGTATCATCCATTATATAATAATGAGCAAAAATTTGAATTTCTTAGAAAGTGGAAATCTATCATGTCCTCTATCTTCATAATAAATAGAACAAGGATTGTTTACTGATTGTGTTAGCTGTAATGCTATAAATACGAAGGACTAGCAATATAGATAAGTATAAAAATTGTATTGTACAGAAACGATGCAACCAAATGTTGAGACTTACAGGTCATTGCATGGAATGTATTCGAGAGAATTACTAGGAAAAGATTAAAAATAGTATTTAGAAGATTTCACTTCTAGGTAATATACTGAAATGTGAAAATGTCATTCTAATGATCAGAATAAAATTAAAGAATGTTTAGAGAGTTCCTTAACAGGCAAAGGCTTAATTATCTTTGACAAGCTGTTTCCTGTCGCTTATACTTGATCATTGCTATGTTTTAAAAGAGAATATTAGATTTAATTTTAAGATAACAAGACAAAAAAAAAGGAGGATAAGATATTAAACTTCTGCATTGTGCTTTGGATCTCGAGTAACCAAATCACGCTATAATAACACGTCATATTTGTATGAGATTTGTTTTGTAAAATTAATGAATAACAATAAATATGATAAATAATATCATATCTACGTTGTTATTACTCAACCTGAATTAAAAGCATACTTTAAAATGTTCGATAACTGAATAAAACACGTGTACAATATGATATAAGTACTAGAACGATATTGAATTATGATATGTATTATATTTATAAATCCTTACTTGGTCATCAGAATTGACCTTAATTATCTGATTATCCAAAAATGTAGATATAATTAAGGGATGGATTCACGAAACTACAATTTGTGATAAATGATACTTACTCATAAATTCTTTTGAAATACGTGATGTATTTTTTTGTTCTTTAACTCAAAGAATGTCTGTTCTTGGCACGTAATCTTCTATATTACAAATCTTCTTCTTCTAATACAATCTATATACATAGTTCTCCATGCTTGAAACAAAATATAACATACAGACGAAAATTTATTATAAACATTAATGTTTTACGTAGCTTCACTTATCTAAATTATGATCAAGGCTAGGCAAATAAAACAAAAACTCTTGTTAATTAAAAATATATTATTATAAATGAATATTGATTCTGCAAGTTTCAAAATCAGTTATTTCATTCTTCAGGATTTATTTAGGTTCTTTCCACTCAAACATTTACAATCTTTTTTCAGTATTATAATGCAGGCAAATCGATATTTATCATAGAACCTGTCATGTCCAAAATTTTCAGACCCGGACCTACCTGAGGGGTTCTAATTTATAATGACACTCGCTAATATACATTACGAAACAATTTCTACATAGATTGATATACATGCACGAAAACGTTCTACATACATAAATTATTTTTACATGGCTCGAGTGGCTTTCTATTATCAACCAATTAGTTCTGAAGCTCTATGTTACATTATAATATTCTGATCAATATCCAGGGATGGCCCGAGTCAACCAACAATGGGGGGGTGTCGCGAAATTTTTTGCAGTAAAAGGTGGAATTTTTTAATTTTGGGGGGGTGTAACATTATTTTTCATGACAAATGGAAGAAAATTTTTTGATTTTGCTGAGCAAAAAATAGAATTTTTCTAAGATTGGGGGGGTGTTCCACCCCCGACACCCCCCCGGTCGGGCCACCCCTGTCAATATCGTATCAAAGACAGAATAAATGGCACTTCGATATGTAGCGACATCTATCATTCTATTAACCGAAAGAAATTTTATCACGAGACTTTTTGATATTAAACACTTTTAATTTGTCTAATTTTTATTCTTGAAAATTATTTTATAATTATGTAAACATAGAGGAAAATAGAATAATTCTATTGGTTTATACATCAGACAGGGGCACTTTGACCAGTCAGAAAAAAAAGCTTTTCTTCATCTTTCACCATTCTTTTTCATATATATATATATATACGTCCAATCGTTTGAAAAATAAATGCATGAATGAATCTTTCCGATACGAAAGGACTTTTCTTATTTGACAACGTCCATATTTAGACAATGAATTATATATTCATACGAATGATTTTTATCTTACTAATGACGACAACTATCGTCATTAGTCGAGATAACAATGATAATCAAATTGCTGATTTTGAAGTTCACATTCCACTTAAAAAAAACATAACATGTTTATGTACTGAAGATGAACAATGTGATTCCAATTCTGCGACATGTCAACTAACACATGAACATCATACATGTTATGAAAGTTGGACATTAGAATCAAGTGATGGTTCAATACATGTTACTGCTGGGTATGTCATTTTATTTCTATATAAAAAAAAACAAAAAAAAAAAAATTTTTATATATTCAATTTAATTTTATAGATGTATGCATAATGATTATTTCTTTATACGATTAATGTGTAGTACTAATAAAACAAATCGTTATATTGTTTGTTGTTCTCAACGTGATTATTGTAATGATCTTGATGCTTATTCAAAAGAAATTCGTACTTCATTAATATCTACAATATCAACAAGTAATTATTTATCTAAAAAAAAAAAAGAAAAAAATTCAATAAATCTATTTTTATATTAAATAGGTACTTTAACAACACGTTTACCTCGTGGTAATTTTTCAATATTAATATTAATAACAATTATATCAATAATTGTTGTAATTTTATTATTAATTGGATGTATAATTATGTATTTAAAACATAAAACTATAAAGAATAATAATAAAAGTTATTCGAAAACAATTGTTTATGATGATGAACATCATAAAAAAAATATTACTCAACGTTTATTAAAATGTTTTCATTGTCGAACACGTTTAGAACAAAATTCAGATCAACGTATACCGTCAGATCAATCATTAACTGCACTTCTCGATGAATTTTCAACAAGTACAATTGGACCAGGTTAATTAATTGAATTTGAATTTATGATAAAGATTTATAAATAATAATTAAATTTCTTTTTTTTATCTAGCACTTCCTTTATTAATGCAACGTACACTTGCAAGACAAATAACTTTGGAAGAAATAATTGGTGCTGGTCGTTATGGTAGTGTTCATCGAGGAAAATGGCGTGAAGATCATGTTGCTGTTAAAATTTTTTCGGCAAATGATGAACGTTCATGGCTTCGAGAAATAGATATTTATCAAACTGTTTGTTTAAGACATGAAAATATTCTTGGATATATTGCAGCCGATAATAAGGTATGCACATAATTTGATATAGAATCAATACAAACTTTTCTCTATTCAGGATGCATCAACATATACTCAACTTTGGCTTGTTACTGAATATCATGAAAATGGATCAGTTTATGATTATTTAATGACTCATACAATAACAATACCTATATTAATAAAAATGATGTTAAGTATAGCTAGTGGTCTTTGTCATTTACATATGCCAATTGATTCAACAAATGGTAAACACAAGAGAAAAAAGAAATCGTATATTTAATATCTATTGAATTTTGTTTTAGGAAAAGTTGCACTTGCTCATCGTGATTTAAAAACAAAAAATATTTTAGTCAAAAAAGATCTATCATGTTGTATTGCTGACTTAGGTCTTGCTGTAAAAGAAGTTCGTTCTCGACCTCAATGTCGAAAAGATCCATTAGTTTCAAATACATCTAATCAAGAACATGTTGATATTGATATTCAAGCAAATAGTCGTGTTGGTACACAACGTAAGTTAAATTTCGAAATTAAAAAAGCAAACAAAAAAATTTCTTTTCAAAGGTTATATGGCACCAGAAGTTCTTGATGGAACATTAAATGATCGTAGTTTTGAATCATTTAAAGCTGCTGATATATATGCATTAGGACTTGTCTATTGGGAAATATTACGAAGATGTCAAACAAATCTGAATGGTAAATAATAAAAAAATATGTGTAAAAAACAAAAAATTTAATTAAATTATTATAGAAAATGATGCTGATCCATATCAAGTACCATATGAAGATATTTTACCAAATAATCCAACATTTGAACAAATGCGTGATGTTGTATGTACAAGAAAAATTCGACCACCACCATCACCACGATGGCAAACACATTCGGTAGGAAGGTTTTTTTTAAATTGAAAATTTCATATTTTTTTATTTTTGAAATAAATATTATTAAGATTCTTCGTCATCTTGTTCGTTTATGTGAAGAATTATGGTTTGAAGATCCAGCATGTCGTCTCAGTAGTCTTAATATTAAAAAACAACTTAAAAATCAAATGAGTTTAATAGAAAATAATTTATCAAATATAAATATTGAATCACAACAACAATTAACACAAAATGATGGTCCATGGACTGCATAATTATATGTAATAATGATATATCTTTTATGTAGATATTTTCTTTTTGCGCTTTATTGTTTGTTTTGTTTCATTTTCTCTCTCTCTTTTTCATCTCAAATGTCTCTTTTTGCACTAGTTTTGAACAGTTCTTATACTGTTTATTTGCCATTTTTCATATATACGTCCGTTTTGTCTTACAAACTTTATGTACAGTTGTGTTATAAACGAAAAGAAAAAGCCCCCAAAAAAAAAAATTATTTAGCTGTCAGATGCCATCAATCGACTGCCGAAAAAAAACGCGTTTAATTAATCCATTCTTTTCCTGTCATTGTTGTTATTTCAAATTTCTTCGGTATTTTGCGTTTTTGTGTGCGTCTATTGTATTCATTTTATTTGTCAAAAAAACAAAAACAAAAAAACAAAACATAATCAACTATAATCGAATTGGCATCTTTTGAGTGTGTGTTTGAAACAAATAAAATTTATTTGTTATTCATATAATTATATTTGTTTCAGTATTCTTGTTATTTTTTCATTTGTCTGATTTAATAATTATGGCAACATCACAAGGAACAGCATCTACAGGTGATAGTACTACGATATCAACAACACAAGCAACAGTTAGTGCACCACCAACAGTAATACCATCGGTCACTGTTGTACAACTTTTACCATTAGAACTTGTTGATAAATGTATTGGATCAAGAATTCATGTTATTATGAAATCAGATAAAGAAATTGTTGGAACTTTACTTGGATTTGATGATTATGTTAATATGGTACTTGAAGATGTAAGTTTGTTATCTTAAAAGAAAAAAAATTAAATCTACTTACGAGAAGGCTCAACTTTTGCCAATTGCCTGAAGTGATACCCACCGCATGAACTCATATTGGATTCACAAGGACGTCTTGATAAGACTAGAAAAATTCTAAAAGGATTTGCGTCCATGGATTCTTGGAGCCGAGTTATGGCTGTTTTACTGAGTTTTCGGTCCAGTTTTATGTATTTACCGAAAAATCAAATAATGAGATTGCGCTCGTTTGCAGACTGAGTGAATAGTAGTAATTATATTCTGAAAGTTTCAGTCGAAAACATATAGAACTTCCAAAAAAAGCGATCGTTTGCCACAAAAATCGAGTTTACTTGAAAATTATTTTCGACTGAAACTTTCAGAATATTCTACTAGTCATTCGGCCTGTCTTCGAGCGAAATTCCATTATCTGGTGAATACCTAAAGTTGAATCAAAAGTTCAGTGAAACGGTCGTAACTCGGCTCCAGAGGCCTATGAGAACGAACCTTTTAGATTTTTCAGAAGTATCTATGTTGTTGGATCATTCCATAGACAAATTCTGAACCTCAAGATAAATAGGAGAACGTCTCAGATTATATGTGGTGGGTTCATTACAAGTTGTAGTCGTATTTGTGCATCCCTCATTTCCATAGAAATTAGCACTTTAATGGAAACGCATAGATGATATTTCGCTTATTGTAATTGCTTTGTACAGACACAATTTCGAACTTGGTTTTTTTTTCAAAATTTAATTTTAATTGCTCAATTTTACTATAGAGGAGAATCTGAATATATATTTGGAAATTTTGGTTCTAGTTTCGCGCTTCGTAATCCATGCACTAGTGAAAAATGTGATATTATTTTCTAGCAGTGTTAATGAGCACGAGATATCTTGCATGATCTTTAATGTCCTCCCACTTGGAGATTCATTATTTTTTATAATTCACTAATACTTCGTCTATTCAGCACATTTATGTCGTCAACAACTCTGTTGTTTACGAAAAAAAAGAATTAATTTTTCTATCAAAGTTGTAATAGCAAATATTGAAATGATTGTTATTCAATAGTTTTTGTATAAACTTCTAAAACACATGAGTCGTGAGAGTATGACATTTGACACAAATCTTATACGATTATAAAAGATATCAGTATCAATGAAAAAATGTTGATTCTAATCTCGTCGAGAACGGGATCATCTTGCCTATATCTACTTCAAGGATTTTTTAGTTAAATATTTTTTGAATTTCTGTTTGAATCTCATCGTTTTGGATTCTTTAGTTCGATATGGATTAATTTTTGAGTCGAAATGATTTCATAATTTTTTTTTCCAGGTAACTGAATTCGAAACACTTCCCGATGGTGGTAGTCGTATAACTAAACTTGATCAAATATTATTAAATGGTAACCATGTTGCTATGCTTGTCCCCGGCGGTGAAGGACCAAATACAACCGGCGGAGCAGTATAAACAATAAAGAAACACTATTCAAAAAAACAATTTGTTGTTCTAGTGCAAAACTTGTTTGTTATAAAACAAAAAAAAAAGAAATTTTTTTTATCTATTTCTCTACAAGAAAAACTCTTGAAATGATAAACAAAAAAATGATCAGATATTTTCGAAGAAAAAACAAAATCATAAATCAATTTTCTTACATATTTAAAATTCTTTTCATCTTAGATTTAATAAAAGAAAAATTATTTTTTTGTTTCTTCTATTCAATAAATGGATAAAACCTAATTTATAATGCATTTTCCATCATCATCTACAACCTCATCCTCATCACCATCATTACAAAATCAAATATCAAATACAGCAAATTCCAATAATGTTTTATTTCTTCCATCCAATACATCAAAAATGTCATTTATAATTCCAAATAATAATAATACTAATAATACAATAAATAATTCTAGTCAACAACAAATTGTTTCCTCATCAAATATACTTTCATCAACACCAACAAGTGGAATGACAACATCAATTAATTTAAATGGTATAAATCCACAAACAAATTCAACGTCCAATATATCAATATCATCTGGACAAGTAACATCACAACAACGTTTAACATTTCCTCAACGATCAACATCATTAATACCATCATCATTATCATCATCACTATCACTATCACAATCTCAACAAATTCCACAAGAAGAATTTATGAAAATTCTTCGTGTACTACAAGAAAATAATATGACTGAATCAGTTGAAACATTTAGAAAAGAATATCAAACATTATTTAATAAAACAGCAACACCAACAACAATATCATTAAGTGAACCTTATTTTAATGCACTTGATGGTTATATATCATATGTACAAGAACAACCTGATTCAAGTCGACATGAATTTGCTCAATTAATATATCCATTATTTGTTCATATGTATTTAGATTTAATTGAAAAAGATCAACTTGATGAAGCACAAAGATTTTTTATGACATATGTTAAAAATACAAATTTACAAGCAACAGTTTTTGCATCACATAAAGATGATCTTTATCGTATTAAATCATTAATTACAAAAGAACAAATAGCACAAAGTGAATATGTTAAATCATTTCGTCATAATGGACGTTATTGGATTAAATTATGTAATGCATCACTTGAATTACTTGATCAATTTTTAATCAAACAACAAAAATATCCGTTATTAACAAAAATTGTTCAAGCATATTTTCAAGTAAGAAAAAATAACAAGATTTTAATTCATTGAAAGGAAAGCCGATTTTATAATCGAAATTATGATATACGTTTTTTTTTTATATTAATCGATTCCTAACACTAAAACTCAAGTTACGAAAAAAATTTTTAGATTTCTATAAATTGATTTGATGAAGTTATAAAGCGTTGAAACATAAGGGACTCTGAAAAACAGAAAAAGTAAGGTTATCTTCATTGGTTCGCTTATATCTCCGTTTTGTTTGAGTAATATCTCATTTAAAAGAGCACATAAAACTCAACAAAAAATATCTCGAATAGGTTTTGAAGAAGTTGGATCTTGATATAAAAGAATTAGCTCTTCTGAAAAACTGCGCTTTTATTAAACTGACTTTTTTTGATAGTAAGCTGGATTTCAATATAATTACTAATCGAAGCATAACTTTAATATAGTGCATCTTGTAGAGGATTTTGAGAAAAAAGTTTCAAAAAAGACAGGGACACATTATTCCCGGGATATAAGTTTGTATCCTTTTTACTAGTATTTAGCAGGTTTTGTTTGAAAGAATATCGATTTAATCGAAATTAATATGATATTCTAAACTAGCATGAGAAACTTGGTCGACTTATGTGAATTTCAAATATCTTTGGGGCACTTTTTTTTTTCATCAAAACGCTCTTTTTAGTGTCTACTCATCTTCCATTTTGTGTCCTGCTACTTTATTAAAACCTTAGAACTTTTTCCATCATCAAAATAAGTTTTTGTTGAATTTCAGTTGTTAATTAAATCCCTGAGGGGAACTAGGAGATGAATTTTTCGATGAAAAAGAAATGTCTCACAGATATTTGAAATATACATAGGTCAATTCAGTTTCCCATGATGATTCAAAATATCATATCAATTTTGATCAAATCGTTAGTTTACTAAGAAAAATTTGCTAAATACTAGTAAAAAAGCAAATTTATACCTCGGGAATAATGCGTCTCCGCTTTTTCTGAAACTTTTTTCTCAAAATCTTGTAAAGTGAAAAATTCTTTACAAGCTGCACTATATTAAAATTGTACCTCGATTAGCAATCTTCAATACTTATAACTCCAGTTGTAGTGTTAGGAATCGATTAGTGCGAAAAAAGTGTATATCCTAATTTTGATCATAAAATGAGCCTGTTGATGAATGCTTGATCGAATGGTGTAACTTCTCATAAACTTTTGTGGTTTTTTTTTTAATTTCAGCTTGAAATTAATGATGGTAGTGCACGTAATGCTGAAACTCAACGTTTATTAAGTGGTGGTCGTCTTGGTGAAATTAAAACTGAAGATAATACGAATCGAATGTATTATGGTTTATTACGAGATCATGATCTAACAAGAATATTACAACATAAATCAATACTTGCATCATCAACAGGTATTGATAATGATGATGGTGCTGGTGATGATCAACCATCAACATCAAAAAATCGAAAAAAACTTAAAAAAGATTTTTTTAATCAACGACAAAGTAAAGCTTCGTTAAAAGTTGATCCTAATGCACCACAACTTACACGAATACCTATTCCAGAATTAAGAGAACATGAACGAATGGATTTAATAAATACATTTCAAGGTAAAAAAAAAAACATTAATCTTATTACAGGATGAATATTTTCATAATATATTTCCAAATAAACTCATTAAAACGATTTAATACATAAAAGAGATGTCAGACTAATGTTAATAGTAAATAAATATTCTAGATGCTATGTTCAATAATGTAAAACATAGTAACATGTTTGTTGTAATAACATTGAAAGAGAGGACACAAGGTCTATATCGAATTTCAATACTTTAATGATTAATTTTAATATATGATTATTCAGAGACTTCATAAAAATATATATATCTATATATACTCGGAACGTTCAAAAAAGGGAAAAAGGACTTTTGATCACCACAAAAAGATAGTTTTGATCACCAAACAATTAAAAATACAAATCATGACCCATAAAGGATCGTTTTGATCACCACGCACTTTTAGATACAAATGACCACCAAAAAAAGTTACTTTTGATCACCAAATTTTTCAAATCGTTGTGATGTTGCATCATTTCTAGTTTGTTTATTCACTATCCCTTGCATTTCATCAGATTTTCTCTTCCTCTGTATATTATATATAAATAGTAATTTGTATCACTGGGTCAGTGGTCGACGCATACATTTATACAAAATAGTCGAAAATATTCATTTGAAAAAATAAATAGATATTAATAAAGTTGTTAAAGTGTTCCTTGTTTATTTATTATTTCAATTTTTTTTGGATATTATACTTTTTGGGAAAAATAAATATGTTGGATGAATGTTGAAAAATCTGGTTATCAAAAGTAACTTTTTTTGGTGATCATTTGTATCTAAAAGTGTGCGGTGATCAAAACAATCCTTTATGGGTCCTGATTTGTATTTTTAATTGCTTGGTGATCAAAACTATCTTTTTGTGGTGATCAAAAAAACCCTCACCCTTCAAAAAATTCAATTCTGTTAATTGAAAACATTGATTAAATTCAATGTTTGACAAGTTAACAGAAAGAAAAAACGATCATCCATTATCCAAATTGATAAATATATTAATAATGAACATAAATTTATTTTAAATTCAAAATAATTGATTCAATACTTTTTTTTGTCTTTTCTATTGCAGAAGATTATACACGAATGTTAAAAATAACACCTGATAATTTACCATCTTGTTGTTATTATACTTTATTAAATGGTTATCTTGAAATAAATTGTCTTGGTAAGTTTAATTTAAAACAAAAAAAACAATTCTCAATAAATTTTTATTTCGTATTAAAGAAATATCCGAAGATTCAACATTACTTGCTGTTGGTTGTAAAAATTCTAGTATATATGTATATTCATTAAATCGTCAAAAATTAATAACAATGAAACTTCCTCATGAACTTGAAAGATTAGATAAATCAAATGAACATATATATGAACAAATGATGACTAATGATGATAATAAAGATGATACAAATACAAATCATGATAATGATATACTTTATAATCAACGTTTATTATGTGGTCATACTGGACCAATATATGGTTTATCAATGTCACGTGAAAAATGGTTTTTACTTTCATGTTCAGAAGATTGTACTATACGTCTATGGAGTTTATTAACATGGACATGTTTAATTACATTTCGTGGTCATACACAACCTGTATTTGATGTACAATTTGGTCCATTTGGTCATTATTTTGCATCATGTTCACTTGATAAAACAGCACGTTTATGGTGTATTGAACATGCACAAACATTAAGATTATTTACTGATGGTTGTAATGATATGGAAACATTATGTTTTCATCCAAATTCAAATTATATAGCAACATCATCATCAGATAGAATTTTAAAAATATGGGATTTATTAGAATGTAAAGAAGGACAACAAATGAAACCTATTAGACAAATGTCTGGACATAAATTAAATGTTTGTATATTAAAATTTTCTAAAGATGGTAGATATTTAATATCAGCTGGATTTGATCGACAAATTATGATATGGGATTGTAGTAATGGTTCTCTAGTTACATGTTTACTTGGACATTCGGATGCAATTTTTTCTATGGTAAAATAATAGATTTATCTATTTCATATAATTAATCATTTGTATAACTAAATGAGAACTTAAAAATCGATTTTAAACAGTAAAAACGTCTTCTTTAAAATTTCTCGATAGGTTTTTTTTCTTCTCATATGATTAGAGTGATATTCGTTAATTACTCTTTGAATAGTCAATTGAAAGAATCAACATTTTTACATACAATGAGTTCTAAAATTCCTAGAATAATTTATTTTCTATCAAATGAGACGTCGCCAAGAAAACAACTTTAGCTAAAGAAAACTCGGTGCTATCTCATTTTGGTAGAGAATTGTTTACTCTAGCGTTCTAGATGTTGAAAAACTAGTCTTTTGGTTTTCTTGAATTTCTGTCTTTGGAAATCAGATAATAATTTTTATTTCCTTATATTCCTGTTGGACACAATTTTCTCTATTCGAATCACTATTTGTAAAGTACTTACGTTAACAATAAACCTTGTTAACAACAAAAAAAAACTGTTAGCGCCATCTTTGCGAGATTAAAATATGAAATACGATAGTAATCCTGATATTATAAAAGAAAGGATTAATCAATATATTTTTCAGTTTATGAATTCCTACCAATATATTGTAGTGAATGTAAAAGAAACATCAATGACAACTATCATACTAATCCTATAGTAATCTTAGATCTCAACACTTGTTTTAGATCATGTTTCATGAAAGAAAAACACTTTTTTTTTTAAATTTAGGATATTTCTCGTGATGGTTTAATACTATGTACGGGTAGTGTCGATTTTTCAATACGAATATGGAATTTTGGACAATTAATTAAAGATAAAGATGATGGAAAATTAGATACTGTTCAACGTGTTACACCATCAGCTAAATATGAACTTGTTACTTATCGTACAAAACGAACATCTACAACATTAATACATTTTACTCGTCGTAATTTATTATTAGGTTTTGGTGTATTTATTCCACCAAATGAATCAACAACTAAAACAAAAACTTAATTTTATTTGTGATAACAAAAAAAGTTTTAAAAGAATCTTCGACTTTTCTCTTTGTATATTCAATGTGATAATATGGACGAGAGCTAGATCAATTACAGTGAAAAATATAAAAAAATAAAATAAAATCTAATGTGAAATCATCCGAATAGAAATCATTTAGACATATATCTCTCATATAACACATTGTATATAAATGCTTGTTTGTTTTTATAAAACAGTATATGTTATTTCTTGTGTTTATCTATTCTTGTTCGTATATGTTATTACTTTGATTTTTCCGTACAATGTATATGTATATATATATATATATATATATACATGAAAACAAACATCCATCGAGAGAGAAAAGCAAATATTAGCCCAGAAAATTTTCTTTGTCCTTTCTTTTTATATATTTACTTAAAGAATCAAGAATGAGCGAAAAAAAAACATCAATTTTTTTTTCTTGTTTGTTTATTTGTATTTTAAGATTATGCCACCAAAACGAACAGCAGCTAATGCCGCAGTCGCTGGTGGTGGTGGTGGTCGAAAAAAAGGTGGTGCAGCTGCTCTATATGAAATGGCTGAACCATTTTCTAATGGTACAATTTTAACAGATCTTTGTCATAAAACATGGTCAATTGGTCAACCTATTGCACAAGGTGGTTTCGGTTGTTTATATGAATGTCGTAGTACATTATCTAAAACACCAATATATGTTGTTAAAGTTGAACCAGATTCAAATGGACCACTTTTTTGTGAAATGCATTTTTATTTACAATTAGGAAAAAAAACATTACAAGATACATTTATTAAAGTTAATCATTTAGATCATTTAGGTGTACCACAATTAATTAGTCATGGTATGCATATAAGTTTAACAACAAAACGTCGTTATCGTTTTTTAATTATACCACATTATAAACAAACACTTGCTAATGAACTTCGATTAACAAATAATCATATAGGTCATTGTCTCGATGAAAAACGTGTACAATCAATAGGTAAACAAATACTTGATATATTTGAATATATACATTCACATGGTTATGTACATGCTGATATAAAAGCTGAAAATATTCTTATGAATGATTCTATACATATTTATTTACTTGATTATGGTCTTAGTCGAAAAGTTTCATTACAATATGAAGAAAAAATTCAACGACGACATGAAGGTACATTAGAATTTACATCAATAGATGTACATCGTGGTGCTGCACCATCATTTCGTGGTGATTTAGAAATTCTTTTTTATAATATGTTACATTGGCTTGGTGGACGTTTACCATGGTTAATAATACATGATGGTGCACGTGTACAACAAGCAAAAATAACAGCACGTAGTGATCCATCAGGTTTTATTCAAAATATATTTACAAATAAAAATTCTATATCATCAAAAATGCTTGATGCATTAACACAATTTTTTCGTGAAATTATACAAATGAATTATACAGATAAAGGTGATTATCAACGTTTAAGAGAAATTATAACATGTAAATCACGACAACGACGTTCATCAATTGGTACTGCAGTTTCATCACGAAAACCATTAATTGATTTAGCAAAAGAAGATGAAAAAGAAGAAGAAGAAGAAGAAGAAGAAAAAAAACCAGAACGAAAAAAAAGAAATTCACCACGTCATTCAACAACAATTAATCGTGCACGAAGTGTTTCACGTGATCGTGATCGAAGAAAAAGTCGAAATGAAGCACGTTCACCATCACCACCAATTCAAATGCTTTCTGCACGTAAGCGTGCTCGTTCCAAGAACACTAACAGATATACGAAAAGAAAAATTTTCAAACGATAGTTTTGTTTTTACTGGTTTTAAATAAATTCATCAAAAAACAATATAACTTCCCTAAGTTATACTTCGCATTCGAGATAAGATTAAACTTATTGAAGCTAGAAGCATTCATTCGCAACCGATGATATTTTTCGAGTTATGATTTGTCTTACTGAAATTTTTGTGCAAAGAATGATTCCAAAAATGGATCAAACAGATTTAATTTCGATTTTTTTTCCGTCTCGCATAAAGAATTCAAATAGTGATTTGAATAGAAAAATTTTTTTCTCAACAAAGATTTGAGAGAAATAAAATCTTTGCAGTATTCTTAAAATTCAGGATCTCTAGAAAATCTAAAACCTAGTTTTCCAACAAACAGAATATCAAAATAAAAGTTTCTTTTGATCACATAGAGCAATATAGCAATTGATTCTCTACAGAAATGGCGAAAAAACGAGTTTTCTAATATTGATGTAGTTGTATCAAAAAATTTCGTCGAGAGTTCAGAGATGTTTCATTTTGTAGAGAATCAGTTACTTCTGTGTAATTAAAAGAAACTTTTATTTTCACGTTCTCTGTGCTGAAAAACTAGGTTTCTAGTTTTCTAGAGATTTTAGACTTTAGGAATACTGTGAAGATTTGATTTCTCTTAAATCCTTGTTAGAAAAAATTTTCTCTACTCAAATCACTATTTGAATTCTGTATGCGAGATGCAAAAAAAGCATCGAAATTAAGCCTGTATGACCAATTTTTAGAGCACCAAGTTCCCATTTGTTTGCTTTCTCATAAATACTATGGCAAGGGGTAAACAGTACGCGTATAACTTCAGAAAAGCAATGCATAACAACGAATCCTTCGAGGCTAATTTTTGTCTCAACATCCTCTATTTATTGAGTGTGTGTTTCATTTAAGAATATTCTCTTTCTCGTTAGGATATGAGATTTTTTCAAATGAAAATAAAAACATAAAAACATTGCTTGTTTCTTATATTTTAGGAACACCAACATTAAATAAACTTAATACTCTATCAACTCAATCAAAAAACAAAATTTCTAATGATGATATTGAAGATGATGAAAATGATATTGATATGAATGTTATTCTTAATCCAGCATTAAGTTCAACACGTATTGAACGACCACGTCGAATTCAAGCCCATCCTTCGCCTATACCAGCACCACCACCTAAAATAACAAATGATTTTTATAATAAAGCAGTTAATCATAATATTGATGATAAAATTTGTAAGAAACAACCAATTACATCAACAAATATTCGTTCAAATAATAATACTTCAAAAAATGAAAGAGAACACTCAGATATCATTGCAAAAGTTCTTGCTGGTATACCATTAACAAATAATGAAATTCGCCGAGTTATTCATCGACCTAAATAAAATTGCATAGATTC